GGGGGGGGGGCGAAAAAAAATTTCTGCCCCGGGCGCCCAGAACTCTGGTTACGCCACTGCTCCTCAAATAGTACAAATAGTCCAAAGGTAACATTGGTGTTTGCTTCTCTTCTAGCTTCAAGGTAACCCTCCCTTCTCGTCTAGCTTCAGGCTACCTTGAAGCATTTTAGTTTTACTCATTCCTTAGGTGCATGCTTAATTGGCCTGGCCCAGAAAATCAGAAAAAAATATCTCTATTTTGTACCAACAAGTTTCTGCAAATTTACATGATAAATGCGTTCAGGTTTCCTTTTCCACCTCTGATAACTTTTATAATTCACCTCTCCAATTGTTTCTATGACCTTATACTGATCTTGCCATTTGGCCTAGAATTTGGTTTCAACTGTTGGGACCAACTGTTGAGACTTGAACCCAGCGGATATATACTGTATTCTCTTCTGTGTGGAATTCTCTCTCCCCGCCAGGTCCCCATGGCTATGTCCAAAAGTTCCCTGGGGTGTTTCCCATAATGTAACTCAAATTAGAGAAACCAGTTATAGTTAGTGTTCTTTTTTTTGTCAAACAGCAGCATTCCAAAAGTCCACCATATAACAACAGTCTCTTATGGCATTGACAACTTCCCTGCAGCAGGTACCCCCTTTATAGTTCAGTTCCGCTTTAGGAGCAGACACACCCTGGACTGCCTAGCTTTAACATAGAAGATCCAACTGAGCCCAACTAAAAGATCTGTCAGGGAAAAAACACAAATATGTTCATTGGGATTGGGAATACACTTGAATCTGCCTTTGAGGATTCCTAGTGAAGCCAGTCCTAGTATAAGTTTTGCAAATAATAGGTAAAGAAATGTTTCTTTAACATAAGGCTTGACCTTACAATGAATATTTAAGAAACCGTGTTGTCACATACCTTCCATTATACACTTTTCCAGACAACACCACGTATTTTGAAGTCACCATGTTACAATATATAGTATATATACAAAGTGGCAGTCATATTTCTGCATTATGCATAGGAGTTTGCTTTCTGCTTAGTAGTGCTGCACAGTTGTTTTTTTTCTCTTTCAGTGCACGTTAATGGGTAGCTATAGACAGATAGCTCCCCAAGAATGGTTTCAGGAAGATGATTTTCTTGTGTTTGAAAAAGTCGCAAGAATATGACCTTTATATTTCCTTGGCACTGACAGCTGCAAATGCACACAACTTTATTCCATTCCTTTGCTCCATAATGCCAAGCTGGAAAATTTCCATGTGTAATAACAAGCACATTCAGCTGCCAAAGGCATTATTGTTTTTTTTATATTCTGCCTTGTACCTCTTAAAATTAGCAGCATTTGCTGCAATACTCAGCCTGCCCCTGGCACTGTCCCCTGCACATTTATGGCTCTACTTGTCTACCGCTAGGCATCTTTGGGATTGAATCGTGTCTGGCGCCTTTCAGCCACTTTCCTGTGGGTGTAGGCTGTCGTTTTCTAGGTTGAATGGCAGCCAGCATCATCCATCCCACTTCCTGTGGGTCCAGGCTGTCATGAACCCATTCCTTGGGATTGCGTCATCATGCAGCCAGGACTCACTGGCTCACTAGACTGAGAAGTGATCATATGTCATTGCCTGAGCACCCCTCCAAGAAGAAGGGCCCACTACCGAAGAAGAAACACCTAAGACATCACTGGACCAGCCTGAAGACTGCAGGAAAAAATGTATATATAGAAAGTCCACAAAAGATTGCAGGGGATCCATAGAGTGCTGGTGCCCAACCAGCAGCCCAAGGGCCACATGTGGCCCTTTGGTGTTTGAAGTGCAGCATTTGGGCCAAAGCAGTCAGTAGTGCGGACATTGATTTTAAAGGCCCTTTAGTAACAGTAATCACGAGCAGTTTCATGTAACATGCCCCCACCTCTGACTTTCTCCTACAACATGACTATAATCTCCAACCTCTCTCATAGCACAGTCTCTGACAATTTCCTCTAGCAAGTCTTTAGTAGATAACAGTCTTTTGTAGCATTTCATATAATAAACATTAAATGGGGCCCTCTGGAGACCTCAGGGGCTGCATCTGAGGGTCCCTTTACCTTGCAACATGACAACCACTGCTTTAGAGAATGGGGGGCGAGGTAAACCAAAGTTCTGCTTTAATAGGTCACAGCTCATCTGTGGATAATGGGCCTAATTGTGAGACAAGAAACTAAAAGGGCATCTAGTGATATAATTTAGGCCTTTTGTGTATGGTCTAGGATCAGGTCAGTATGTCAAATGCAGTTCTTGAATTCTGAATTGAATTGTATGAATCTGTTTTCAATTGCATCTGTTGTTGCTATTGCCACACAACATGTTGCATTGTATTTTTGTAAGTAAGTTCTGTGTTGTATTTGAATGTTTTTTATAGCTCCATACAGGTCAGTGAGAATGCAGGAGGAATGTTTGGTGCATTGGAAATGCATCTCAAAAGCAATGCATTTGTCACTGAAAGAACATGAATGCATGCTTTCTGATGGCTAAGAATAACTTGATGTACACAAGCCCCCTCATATCCTTACTACCTGCAGACCTTGACCACATATAAAAAAAATTCCTATGTATGGATGCCTTTTTAGAGTAGACACAGACATTACATCAACAACACGTTTTCCATTGTGCC